CCTAATAAAATTATGAACAATGGACTAAGGAATGTCAGCACTTTCCCTCTTTCTTTTTCTCAAGCATCAACAATTGGAACATTTACAGCTATCAACTAAGCAAGCTTTTTTTTATAACCAATCTTTTTATTTTTTCAATATATCTTGCTAGGATTAGAAAGGTTTAAATGAAGTAGAGTTGAGTATTCTTTAATGGTTGGCACCATATCAACTTCATTGAACAAAAAGTAACAATATAAAGGATTATAAAACTAAACCATAGCTCTAATAAGCTGGGCATTGACAATGACTGAGAGAAGTTGTGCAAGATCCCCAAACTTCTTTTATAAAGCTTATTTGATGGTGACATCTTATCAATACAAAATGTTAACCAAATCACTGAAATCATTCCTTTTGAGATTAATATGGATTCTAATTGGGAGAGTAGACATATAATCGGGTGGCAAGCAATCACTTCCTTTAAATTGAGCTTTTTTAGACTTTATTTTCAAGCCAAAAGGAAACTTTGTTAGGCTTTCCATAGATGTAATCAAGATTTTTTTTATTAAAACAATTTTGTAATAATCACTTCTTATGATAAATCTAATGATGTAAATGCATGAACATACAGTTAAAAAAATGTTACTAAATAATATATAAAAAGAGCAAAATACAATTTTACAAGTAAAATAGTAAGAAATATTCCATCACGTGCCCTATTTAAGATTTTCCTACAAGCGGAAGGCAGGGCTCTAACTTATGATTCTTAGAGTTCATTTACATGCAAGGTTAAAAAATTTGACAATCCAAAGGCTCCTAAATTATTCCATCAACAAACTAAGTTCATGAGTCAGTTACATGTAGGAAAAGTTTTAGCACCCTTATAATATCCAAAATTGTTATTAAATTAATCACATGTTATCTTATTTAAACCTTAATTCAAATGATTTTTATTCCTTATTTTTTATATTTAAATATTGGATAAAATTTTTAGGTTTTCACTAAAAAAGAAAATTTTTTCACCTTAAAAGTATTCATAATAAACTTATTGTTTACTTGAAGATGCTCTGTTATCGAATTTATTAAATATTTTATGAAAAATAAAATTTTAATTTCTTTTATTTATTTGCAAAATCATTAAAATACAAAAATAATATCAAAATATCATAAAAATACCATGTAATAATATCATAATTAAAACATGCAAACAGATCATAACAAAAATCATGTAGAAAATCATGCAAAGATCTGATGAAAACACATCATGTAAAAATATAGTAATAAATCATGCAAATTAAATCATGCAAGAGTATGGTAATAAATCATGCAAATAAAATCCATGCAAAATATTATGATCAAAATCATAATCAAGCAAATAAATATCATGCAAAATATTATGCAACGTATCATGCAAATATATAAATTATAATTATTCATGCAAAATTATCATAAATCATGCAAAAAAATGCAAAATAAACTATGAAATTCCTACCAAAGTTTCTTTCTTTTTCTTAACCTCATCACCTCTAATTCAATCACAATTAAAAATAATAAATAAAAAAATAAAATACAATAAGAAATATGTTTAAAAAACAAAAAATATATTAAAATAAATAAAAGAATCAAAAAATATACCAAAACATAAAATAAAATACAAAAAAAAATGCAATCAAGTCAGGTCAATAACAAAATAGCACATGGGTCATGCATGGGTTGGGACACAAATCTTAAGCCCCAAAACGACGTCATACATTCCTTGTATAAAAGCTAAAAAAATATTGAGTTTTCTCATATTTCTCCTCCTTTCTCTCTGTACCTAAAATTCCTCATACCTCTCTCTAGAATTTTCACTAAAAAACTTAACCAATTTTAAAAGCCAGCCAAAAACCTCAAAATTCAGCATCAAAAAAATCAAATAATGCCAAAAAATTCAAGCCTTCCTTAGAAAATGCTAGAATCCAAAATTCAGTTGCTGCTTTTTCCTTTGACCACCATAAAATTCATTGAAATTTTCAAACTCCCAATGAAAAGCTCATTAAAAAACCAAAAAAATTCAAAGATTCAAACAAAAACCCAAAAATATCCCATAAAAGCCTAGAATTCAAAAATCAAGCCAAAACCATAAATTAAAACTATCAAAGACTAATTCCTAAACTCTTTCACAAAAATTGCTAAATACAATTTTAAAATCAAATTTTTAGAACCAAAAACCAAAACTAGAAAAATTTTTAATGATTTAGCTACTATTTCTTACTATAATTGGTTGATTGCTTACTTAATTTGATTGTGCTTGTTGTGTTCACAGATTGAACATTAGGGTCCTTATATAGAGATCCAGTCTTACTTCGTTTTAGAAAAGGCAAAATCTCATCAAATCTACCAAAAGATTTTCAAGATTTTTTTTTAAGACTTTTCCCTTTTTCCATGATTTGTGACTCAAGTATTTCCATAAGTAATCCATCTTTAAATTTTCAATTTCAACAAAATCTAAAAACAAAATCTCCAAGTTTCCTTTCACAAAAATTAATCATGTTTTTTTTAGTTTTTTATTTTTATTTTTTATCAAATAATAAAACCATCAATAATAAAACTAAAATAAATAAAATATATAAAAATATAAAAACATATTTTTGGGCTTTTAATCTTTGGACCTAAAATTCAATTTTCTAATTAAGGCCCAATTACAATTTTGTTCCCATCTTAAAGTTAAAAATCAAAGCCCATTTTAATGCTGAAAAAATTTTTGAACAAAATAGGGCATCTATAATGTTTAAATAAACTGAAACATCCATTTCCAAACTTAAAAAAGTATCCAGATGCATCATGTTTAGACAAATAAACTAAATTTTAATAAATGAAAAGAACATAAAGAGTTAAAAAAATATCTAAATGGTGTCCAATATTCAAAATTAAACGGTAAATTCCAATGGCTTCAACTGGAGTTTTGACTTGGTTTCTCATTAAAACAAAATTTTCATTTATATATATGGTTTAGCTCATAAGGAGTCTTTAAATCATATTTGAAACATAAGTGGTATAACCAAAATCAAAATACCAAGTGTTATAAAGAACTTCTACCAAATTTGATTCAAAACATATGAAAACACAAGGCTTACTTTCCTTTCGAAGCATGCCTTATGTTTTAGGCAGTTTTCTAATAGTGTACACACTTTTCGCAAAAATAACACTTATTTTTCTTTTATTCCTTCTGGTGGATTTGGGCAAATGATGCATTAATCTTTGTGGTCCTTTATTGCCATTTCTATTTTTCTTTATTGTTTCTTTTTAGCTCTTAGCTAGCCTATAAGATTAATTAAACAAATTCATTGCTTCTTAAGCCTTGCTTCCTCTTGAATAAGCATACTTTATAGTTTAGTCATATTCCATTTATACTTTATAGTGTTGTAATTTGTTTGAAATGAAGCATGCTTATGAGATAGGGAACTTATAATAAATTGTATAAGAAAACTTTTACTCACTTTCCATTCTCATGGATCTTAATCTTACAACTATATTTGACATTTTAGTGACATTTTTATCCATGATACGAATACCATCAAATTTTATGGTAGTTAACTTATTTATTAATATCTCGGTAAATGACTTATCAATAAAGTCAAATTAACACATATCTTTCACAAACTTCAAAAATTCCTTAGCATTATTAGTTTTAAGAATCGTTAACTTAATGTTATTTGCTACTGTCATTTGCATAAACATTAAGCATAGTTTATTTAATCTTTCTCAAGTTTTATAAAAAGACCTTTGTTCAGTATTGCTAGAATCAGTAATAACAACAGGCTTATTAGCCAGAAGTGCCAAATCAAGATCTAGACACCTAGATGATATTGGACTTGTTCACATCATTGAAAATAATTAAGCCCATTGAACTTTATAATACGAAGCTTACAAATTAAAAGAAACAGGAACAAATGTTACAACATAGATAGAATGCTCACACGTTAATGTTTTGAATTGTAACTTAGATACATAATACTCATTCAAATAACATTCATATAAACATTGAATATACATTAAAGTTCTCCTTTGAGTGATCTACTAATATACAACAACAAATATAATTGATGTTTAATTTTGATTTCACATCATTGGTAATTATATATACTTTAATTACACATGCTTACTATCATTGGATATGCAAAAATATCTAATGAATTATATTAATCAACCACAATCATATTTATGATTATAAAATTAACCAATCTACTTTTAGGCAATCCTTAAATATTTTATAATCACTAAAATTTAATTTACTCATATATATATATATATATATTTCATCATATCATCGCATTTATAACATCACATAATCATAAATAATTGAATTTTAGTTAATTTTGACATATATGAAAACTTTCTAGTTTGGCCACTTCGGTAACTAACAAATTATACGCACTATAGATATCAAAATAAATAATTATAACAATTATTTTAATAATAATAGACATAATGGTAATCTTAAACATACATATGTGAAAGGTTGTGAGTAAACAAAATATCAAAAAACTATCATATATAAAGTTCACATAATTAATGTATCTTACATATATAGTAAAATACAACATATATAATATAATGAGTAGATAGGAATAAAATAATTAAAGATTCATTCACATTCCCTTTCCTAATCATTCTAAAATTTATAATATTTAATTGTATTATTTTTAATTTAATAATTATTAAGTTTAATTCATTTATTGTCTTACATTTATTATGCCACATTTATTGCTTTTCTTTACATTATTTCTCTTTTCAATAAACTATATATTCTTTAATATATATATTCATTAATCTAATAAATATATATTCATATATAACAGGGAAAAAAGGATCGGTGGCCCTCAAACTCGACATGAGCAAAGCATATGATAAGGTTGAATGGGGTTTCTTAAAGGCTATGATGCTGAAGCTCAGATTCCATCATTAATGGGTGTCAATGATATACAATGCATCACATCTGTCTTTTACTTTGTTGTAGTGATTAGAGAGGTCATAGTTACCTTTTAGCCAAAGTGAAGATTGTGCCAAGAAGGGCCTTTATCGCCATATTTATTTCTTCTATGCTCAGAAGGTTTCTCTGCACTTTTACACCAAAAACAAAGGGAGAACATCATAGGTGGCATAAGTTCTAACAAAAATGGGCCAAGAATCAATCATATGTTTTATGCAAAGGATAGTTTGTTGTTCTTAAGAGCAAAACAATTTGAATGCGAAGCAATAAGGGACATGCTAAAAAAGTATAAGAAAGGTTTAGGCCAAATGATTAATATGGAGAAATCATTGATCTACTTCAACAAAATGTTGGCAATGATGTCAGACACAATGTGAGACAAATTTTAGAAGTAAATGAAACTCTTAACCCTTAAAAATATTTAAGGCTACCCATAATGGTAAAGAGGAACAAAAAGTCAGCCTTCAAATATATCACTGACATAATCAAGTCAAAAATCAATTTTTAGAGTTGTAGCATGTTATCCATAAGGGGAAATGAGGTTTTCATTAAAGTAGTTCTACAAGCAACATTAACATATAACATAAGCTATTTTATTTTTTCAAGAGGTTTTTACCAAAAGATAAATAATATGATATGTGCATAATGGTGGAGTTCCAAACAAAACCAAAAAGGTATCCACTAGCTTAAATGGGATAAAATGTATAAGGGCAAAAAGGAAGATGGTATGGGCTTTAAACACTTTGAGTTTTTCAACCAAGCATCACTAGCCAAACAAGGATGGAAATTGATTATAAATAACAAATCATTGCTACATAGAGTGTTAAATGCCAAATATTTTCCATATGGGAACTTCCTAGAGGCGCAGCTAGGCCAAAATCCTTCAACGACTTGGTGAAATATATGAAGCATAAGGGAAGTATTCAACTTGGGGTTGAGATTGAGGGTGGGCAATGGGAGACGCATCAATATTTGGTATGATAGTTGGTTTTCTGATAACAAAATGCTCACTGCAGAGAGAAATGGCCAAATCGACTGGGAAGGAAAGCAACAATTGAGGTTTTGATAGACAACCAAACGAAAGTTTAGAATGAGAAACTAATCTTTTCCCCATTATCAGTGGATGCAAAGCTAATATGCACAATACCATTGAGTAAACAAGACCATGTAAACATTCTAATGTAGAGCTTGGAGAGAGATGGCAAGTTCTCTATTTGAAGTGCATACCATATATGACTATCTAAAGATACACAAAACAATATAGATGCAAGCCATTAAGATGAAAAGCAGCAAGCAAAAGCTAGGGGGTTCTGGAGGAAGCTGTGGAATGCAAAATTCTCAAACAAAATCAAGATCTTTAGGTGGAAACTAAATAATAGGTTTTTACCGATTTACTATGTTTTAAGAAAGTGGGGAATAAATGTTCATAGTGTATGCCCACAAAGCGAACAGCATGACAAAACTATTGTTCATGTAATATAGGAGTGCGAATAAAAAAACAAGATATGAAAATGTGTGGTTGGTTCTCTAAGATGGACAGAAGAGCGATGACCAGAAGACCACGAATATCTAGAAAAAATTATGAATAAGACCGATACACATAAGTGGGAATTTGGTCTAGTCCTAAACTGGGTTGCATGGCATAACAGGAACATGGCAATCAAAAAAGGTTTTCACTGAAGAGTAGACTCAGAGGTGCTATTTGCTATGATTTACCTCCAAAAATTTAAGCTAGCTAATGCGATCTAATCGTCTGGACCTAAGAGTGATACTGAAAAGTGTGAAACCCATCGAAAGGAGTAGTGAAGATTAATTTTGATGAAACACTAAATTCACCAACTAGAATAAAGGGTGTGGGAATGGTTGCCAAGAATGAAAATGGGATAGTGTTGGAACCTGCTACAGTAAAGATAACCCATACAAATGATGCAAATGTGGTAAAGACTCTAGCTACTTGGAAAGCAATTGAAATCGTTAGAGAAATGGGTTTGGATAGCATCATTCTGGAGGGACATGCATTGATGGTCATTAAGGATATACAAAGTGAAGAACTTAACTTCTCTGTAACTGGAATATGTTGGCAAATATTAGGTCACTTTGCATATTGTTCAATCACATGAAAGTAAAACATGTTAATAAAGAGGAATGGTGTGGCTCATAAGCTTGCCCAATATGCTCTAGAGAATAGTGTAAGTGAAAACTGGTTCAAGGAATGCCCTACCTTCCTTCAAAATGTTGCAACCATAGATCTTCAAGTTATATAATGTTGAAGCATTGTTTTTCAAAAAAATATATATATGTTCATTATATTATACATTTTTTCAATATATTAATATAATAAATATGATTTATTGTTATACTAAATTCATGCAAAGACATATGCCATATTGTAATTAAATGAACAATATTTTCAAAATAATAATGATATCCAAAAAAATGAAAGAAACATTAATTATTATTTTGAGATTTCATGTAGCATGCCAATATTAACTTGTAAAAAACATTAAAACTCTTAACTTTCAACATAATATAAAACAAAAATTAATAACAAATAACAACATGAAAATCGATAATAAAATTAATAATAAGAAATATAAAAAAAGTAATTTTTAAAAGCAAATCACAAATTCTTAAACCAAAAACTCTGATACCACGTGTTATATTTTTTTATTATGCAAATAAAATCTTAATTTTGCATAATTTTAATATCCAAAGTCTTAGAATAAAATAATTTTCATAATTTTTTAATTAATAAGAAGTCATACCTTCATTGATAATATTTTTTAGAAATGTTGTTTTATAATTTTATGTTTTTTTCTCTTTCTTGACCTCTTGACTTAATACATTTTTTTTATAAATAGAATGTATCAATTTATAAGTAAAGAGAGTGAAGCAAATTTCTTTCGTTCATTCGTTCGTATTTTCCATCAACATATGATTTATAAACAAAACTCTTGTTCATTCATTCAATAATTATAACTAAAACTCTTTTTATTTTAATTACATTTGTTTAAAAAGACTTTATTTATATCCATTAATTAAACAAAATTTTGTTTTAATTGTTCAAGTTTAATAACATTTAATACGTATTATACTATAATAATTAACTGTAATTTATTTACTTAAATTATTAAATCATCAATAAAAAATATTTTAAGTTAGATAATGGACATTTAAGCCACATAATATCTAACACAATTCTCATCCACACCGCCAAGGGTCAAACTCTTGATTTTGCAAAGGGTTAAACAATCATCACTGAAAGAGTGAAGAATCAAGAGATGGAAAAAACCTAGAATAACCAAACGACATAGCCGATGATGCACCGAATAGCATTCACAAATCCAAATTCCCATTTGATGAATGTCCCTCTTGCCCAAGGATGAACACTTGTTCTCTTGCTTTTCTCTAATCTACCAAAACAGAGCAGGCAACTAAGTTAATTAAGTCTAGTAAAAGCTTAAATGCAATGCCCTTTTGTAAGCAAGTTGTCAGTTACCTGAACAGTAGCTTCATGAGAAAAGGTGAACCGAAAATCATTCAACAAATCTAAGTGCTTCATTTGCTGCTCTAACCTTTCACACTCTTCTCCATGATCCTTCCACACCGAATGCAGTGTTTTCAGGGCGGGTCTAAGCATCGAGTTCCATTCCCTTTCCCGGCGCACTTCAATCCCATTGACCAGACTCCGGCCGTTTTCTGCTACTTTTTCTAAATGAGAAACTGAAATTTAAAAATATAGGCAGCGAAAACGAATATCGTTTAGGGCTTCTTAAAAGATGGCCTATATCCAACCCAATATTTTAAGTCTCGGCCTATCTACCAACATTTTTTAAAAATAAAAGTGTTATTGTGCTTTTCAGCATTTTTTTTTTAGTTTTGTTTATCATTTACAATTTTTAATATTATATATTTTTATGTACAATTAATATATTAATTTGTTATATATTTTAAATTCAGCTCACCCGTCAAGAAAAATATTGTTTTATTAAGCAAATGTAGAACCTTAATAATCTTATCATTGAACTTCAAAATATGAAATAAATTCGTAGTCACATATGTTTCATTTTTTTAGATTCTTGTTGTTTGAATTTCAAGCTATAACTAATTAAATTTCCTCTAATAAAGTATATCATTATTTGTCAGGGATGAGATTTTGGTTTTAGTCACTAAACAAAAATATTTTTTTTCAAATTTATTTCATAAATTTTAGTAATTTTGACTCCTATAAAACCTGTTACGCTACAGCCTTTTTGTCTTTTTTTTTTTTTGCCTTTAATTTCATTTTTTCCTTTTATTTTAATTTCTAATTTTTCCTTTTTTTCTCTACATATTTTAAATAATTATCTTATTTTTTTAAAAAAATTATATGGATTCAGTTATATTATTGATTAAGAAATTTTTTTTAGGATTTTTGTTTTTAATCAATTATATAAATTTTAAACATTTTGATTTTGCAAAGGACCTTCCACGTGTCACCAAACCAATATGAGTGATTTTATTTAAATCGAAAATGAATTGGGAGTGGGATGATTTTTTTTTTCTTTTTTCAAATCATGGTTAGGTCAGAGAAGGGTTTAAGATATTTTTCCCTAGAGTATATATAAAAATATTTTTTATTAGTAATTTGATTTTATATTTATATATTATATTAATAAATTTATTATTTAATATATTAATTTAATAAAAATATTATATTTATATGATTAAAATGTTATTTATAAAAAAATAATATTTTATAAATATTATAATAAATTAAAATTATTTAATTTATTTATGATTATGTTGGATTGAATGTGATTTACATATATATATATATATATATATATATATATATATACATCGTGTCGAAGTGATGTATAAAAAAAAATAACCCAATATTAAAAGTTTGGTAAAATTATTAAAAAATTGGATAGGTGTTAAAGTGAGCTTAAACCTGTCATGAGTTGACCCGACAAATATTCACGTGGCATCTTAATTTATTTTGTTTTTACTTTAGCCTTTTTTTCTCTTTTACTTTTTGTAGTTTTAGCTTGCTTTTGTTTTTTTGTTTTTTTTAATTGTCTATTTAAATATCGAAATCTTAAATTTTCGAATGTATGGAGTATAGTACTAATATTGTTATTTAATATTTTAATTTAATAAATTCATGTATCATTCTCATTTGGCTTTTTTTTTTTTTTCCTAACCATTTTTTATTCTTTTAAGTTTTGATATTTTTTAATTAGATAAATTTTGTAAAAAAAAGGGTAATAGACGTAAAGATGACTAAACAACTCTTCTCTCATTGATTTCAATTTGTTTTGGTCCAATATATGCAATTTTTTAAAAATTTTGGAATTGAATCAAAGTTTTTATTTTTAAAATCAAAGTTTGGTCGAAAACGAGTTTAAAGTCTTCCTTCATGCTCTGAGTATATATATAATTATTTTTTAATTATTTATTTTTATTTTTATATTTATTTATATGCATTATATAAGTTAATATTTATCATACGTGTAAGTACGAGAACTAACCCATTAGATACAACATATAGAGTCATCATCAAAATTTTTTAATATAGGTGTGATTGGGCACCTAAATAAATCTATTCCTTCTAAAGTTGTTATAAGCTTAACTAAGAGTCTCTAAAAAGAATAAGTTTTGATCTTTTAAATATAATTAAATTTGAAATTTCAATTACATATAAGGAAGGTTTAGCACTTTTACAATGCTCACAAATTGGTATCAATTAATCTTAAATTATCTTTTTAGCCTTAATTAAATGGTCCTAATTATTCTTATTATTTTATTATGTTTATTAATTTAATGTTTAAATATTTGACATATTTTTAGGTTTTCTCCAACTCTTTGGTCGATCTTTTAAAAATATTTCTCACCTCAAGAGTATTCAAGTAACACACATATTTTCTTGAAAAGGCTCCATCATTAGATTTATTAAATATTTTATGAACAAATAGATACATATTAATATATGATAATATACATGGTCAATTTCATAATAATAAAATATATAATCAAATACAAAATTAAATACATATAATAAATCATGCAAGGAAATTAAATCACAATAATTTATTCCCAACCTTAATTTTTCTCATATTAGAAAATAAATAAAAAATTGGTATATTGATAAGGATTTCTAAATTCTCCAATATTTTGATCGAATTTAGAAAAAATTCTCTTACCTAAAAATTTTGAAAAAAATTACACACCTGCGACTTTATGTAGAATTTCATCTTTGGTTGAATTTTTATTTATTCCTAAATTATTATATATTTTAAAGATTAAATAACCAAATAAATGTTAAGTTAAGTAAATAGCAAATACAATAAATAATTGACATAAATAATAGAAATAAATAATCCAAAAAAAAAAAACAAAGAAACTAATAGACAAAATAAATAAATATAAAATAAAAATAAAAAGTAAAACAAGTGTAGAAAAAGAAAAGAATTTAAATGGGCAGGACTTACCTATAGATCTATAATTTATGTATTCGTATCGTGTAAACTACTGAAATTTATGTATTTATATCATGTTTTACACAAAAATTATGTATCATAATTCGTGTTGATATGAAAGCATGAAATGTGTTATTTTGGTTTTGTTAAACCCAAACATAGTTATTACTGAAATTTTAAACTGTATCATTTTTGTGTCTTTATTCGTATCATGTTCATATTATATTACTATATCATATTTTAAATTAACAGATCTACTTATTTGAATTGCTGAAAATTTAACCAAGAATTCAAAGTACCCAAGAAGAAAGAAAATATATATATAGAGCAATCAAAACAATTTCCTAAACCCAATTTTGATTTTTGTTTCTCAAAATCTAACCTAAATCTAACTGTTCTCTAAATCAAAACCTAAAATCTAATGAAAACTCAATTCCAAAAATTTTCAAAGATTTAAAAGATCACCACAAAAATGTTTGTGCTTTTCACCATTTTCTTCCCTTTGTTCCTCTTGGTACTTGATTTAGGTTCTTTAAATAGTCATTTAATCCTAACTTCAAAATGAGTCCAATTTTGAAAACAATTGCCCTAACTTTTTTTTTACTCATTTTCAAGCTCAAAAATCCAAATAAAACATACCTTTAAGGATTTCAATTCTTTTTCAATCTCAACTCCTTTTTTTATTATAATTTTGGACTTTTTTTTAAACAATCAAAATAAAAAAAATAAAGTAAAAATTTAACTCAAATTAAAACCCCGAACTAAATGGGGTGTAGGTGTCTACATTATTTAATATTTTAATTTAATAAAAATATCATATTTATAAATTATTAAAATTTAGTCCATCCATCTATTATATAAATTCTAATCATTTTTACTTTTGTTTCATCTTTATTTAATATATCAATGTGACACTTTATGTTTCTTTCCTTTCTTTCCCTTCTTTTCTTTTTTTTCTTTTTTTTTAACTTATTTGTAAGAAAATAATATTAATGAAAGTGCACATGTAGCATCCAATTTGTTTATTTTCTTTCGTATTTTTTAAATTTTTTTTGTTTTGTTTTTTAATTAGATTAATTTTATAAAAAAAATTAACCGATTGATAAGAATAACAAAATAATCTATATCCTATAAGTTTCTATCCATATCGATTTGACATAGATGTTTCATATAAAAATTGATATTAAATCAATTCAAGTCAATTTTTCTTATAAAAGTCGAATAAGTCAAAAGCGAATTTTATTATATTCTATCCCAAGTCACCCTATAGTATATATAAAAATATATATTTTATTATCAATTTAATTTTACATTTATAGATATGTATTCACCAATTTTTTATTAAAAATTTTGTATTAAGTTCCGCATATAAAAAATAAAATAAATTTTTTTTAATATTTATAAATTATATTTTATGAAAATAAAAGGTTAATTTATGTATAAAGTAAGTAACTTTTGGTTTTTTAAATAAAGATGACAAAAAAAAAATTTTAACTCGTGATAAGGCAGTAACACCTAACTCTTGTTATTAGTAAAAAAACTTAACAATTATAAATGCAAAGATTCATTTCCTTCTCCTCACCACTTCCTCATAATCAAATTAATAATGGATCCAAGATATTTTTTAAGTATTTACTTAAAATATAAATAAAAATTTATTAATTTTATCAGTAAAAAGAAATTTAGAAAAATTTTTGAGATGGTAAAAAAAAATTTAATTTTTTAATTTTTAAAGATGATAGTCAACATCCTAGTTTTTCATTTGAATTGGCCACTGATAAAAACACGATGATTACTAGTGTTACCAAGCGGACACATACACAAGGATTACACAATAGAATCCCCTCTTTGTATTTCATTGATTAATATTAAAAATCATCTATGAAGAATTTCACCGCCCACCCAACCAACCAAAATTCTAAATAAAATATATAAAAAAATTTAAAAGTAACTATATATATCCCAAGGCATCTTTGATTGACACCGATCATCTTTTAATACCCATTTATATCCTTAATTGATTTTGGGTGCTTTAGAAAGGTGTCTTTGATTGCTTGTTTGGTGAAAGGGGAGAAACGATACTCGCCTCCTAAGAAAATTTGCTGCTACAAGAAACAGGGAAACAAAAAAAATGAAAGATACCTCCAAATCACACTCAATTTTGAAAAAGAAGATACCAAATCATCTAAAAATAAGAGGGATCATTCACACGCTTATAAAGTTTATTGAAACCAAAAAAAAGATGATTTTACCTGTTAAT